CATTTTTCTCCGCCTCTGCCTTTGTCTCAGAATGTGTATCTGATGAGTCACTTGTTGGAAGGGTGAATGTACAAGTCAGTCCGAATGTAATCATGTGCATGAATGTCTTTCCCCTTGTTTCGTAGAGTGTTCTCGTTACACTCTTCTGCTTGCAAGAGGCTTATGCATGTGCACTGGATCTGATTGGAAGCACAAGGGTGTATCAACTTTGTGACTTTTTTGGATGATCCAACTGCTTGCTCTTCACAAAGGATTGATCGTTTTGGAACTTGTGCGCATATGTGTGTAATTTACGTCCCTCTCTTTTGATGCATGGATGAATGTAGGATGCTTGACATGCGATCTTTCTCTCAGAATTCAGACATTGTGCGTGTATGTGTGTAATTTATGTCCCTCTCTTTTGATGCATGGATGAATGTAGGATGCTTGACGTGCGATCTTTCTCTCGGGGACCGACTATAGATAGTGAATGATGATGGATGTGCTAACCACGAAGATAGGACTCGCGGGCCTAACTCTCAAGTATGCGCTTTCGTTGCATGCGAATGAGGATCAGCGGGCTTGGGAATCAGATGCGGCTCTTGTTACACTCTTCCGCTTGTAGGAAAGAGTAGCGATAGACGATCAACATTTGCATCGGACTACGCTACATAAGTAGGACCTAGTAGATTATTTGTGAACGGTGGACTAGGATGATGAATGCTTTCTTTATTTTTGATTAAGTGCAGTTTTATGATGTTTGCCCGGGTTGCCCAGTCTTTCGCTTCAGCGTCGCGCAAAGATCCCACCACATGTCATGAATTCCTGTATAACGAGGATCAGCTGTGTGTGTGCAAGTGCGACGCGTACGAAGCTGTGGCACAAATCGGGCGACATTACCAATTCCTATCAGAAGCGCAGTGTTTAGCATTCATTAACTCTGGGTTCGTGATAGTGGACACAATTTCTCCCCCATACTATGTTTCATTGCCTTTTCACGAGTTGATTATAATAGCGTGGTCTACCATCGCGCCTTATTGGCCCCACCCGCACCTTGTGCTCTGATTGCCGAGTGCGCAGCGACTGGGGGCAAAGGGATTCGACTACGTGCCACGTGGGGAGACGGAAGTTATGGGAAGAGTTCCGCACTTGTGCCCTGCCGACTCCAATTCTGAAAGCTATGAGACGCTTCGCCAAATGCTCGTCCACAGTCGGGATCCAGCTTACACGCCTGCACTATTCAATTCTAGTAAAAGATAACAGTCAGGTTACAGCTTACACGTCCATTGTCACGTAACCATCGACGACGTCTGAAAATAGTTTTTGAATTAGGAAGATGTTCGAAGTCTGCCGTTTTTATTATCGCTCTCGTTGATCGGTCATAACGTGAAGTTGTGACGAACCATCTTCTGCAATCACGCGACTTCCTGCGCGAGGCCGATGTGGGAGAACGGGAGGGATTTGATGGGTAACGGGTGTAAGCGGGGTTCGGTTGGGCAAATTGCATGGATACCCTCTCTTCTTCTTCGTTTTTCGTTGGGCCAGCGCAGGGAAAGCCCCGCGCCGACGATTAGATGGCTGCGCCTTGACGGGCGCAAGAAATAACTGTACCATAGCTTCTCTTTTGTTCTGCTGTGAGCTTCAAGAATTTTGGCGCGATTAGCACGCGGGAATTTTCGTTTTTGAACTTTTAACTGATGTCAAGCCCCCGCAGGCTCTCAGAATTGTTTTTCTCTCCGGAATTTCCTGTTGCAATTAGGACTTAGACTAGGAATTTAGGTGCTCTGAATTTTTGTCGCGCGGCGCAGGGAACTGGGTTCTGACTGGATCGCGCCTTTAATTTTGTGTAACTGTCGTTTTTGTCGGGCGCGATCGTAACTATAATCCTTCTTCTTTCTTGGTTCTCCTATGTCACCCGCCTTCTTCATCTTTCTCGTCTCGCATACTCTGTTCTAATTGGCCGAAGCGCCTTTATGACCGGATCGATGCGTGGAGAGTGGCTACGACCCCCACGCCGCGGCCTGGCCATGCAGACGTAGGCACTTCCTCTCTTCTCTTCTTGTCCACCTGGGCTTAATCCCGTATCCCTCGCGCAAGCATGCATGCTATAAATTTCGCAAGCGCGATTAGTTCGCTCTCTAAGAATTTCGAGGTTAGCGCGATTATTGAGGGTCAGCTAACGAGCCAGTTGGGAGGTACGTGAGTGTGAGAGTTGGGCGATCCGACGAGCTGGTGTCGGGTATGCGGGGTTGACGTGCGAGGCCACAACGGACTGTGGCGCACGGGCGAACTTGACTTGCATGCTTGAGCCAAGCGGGGCGACAACTCTGTGTGGATACGCGGCGACGGACTGCCGGTATCGTGGGTGTTGATGCGAAGCGACGGACTGCCCGCAACAGGAAAGAGAGAGAAAGAGCAGTAGCGTGGGTATGAGATAAAACTTCTTTTCGTTGTTGTTTTCATTTCCTCTGTTCATCTGTATAGTTGTGGATTCTGATATGGCCGATCTCTTTATCACGGCCCTTTTCTTTTTTTGAACTTCTCTCGTACATTGTCTCGGATTTTCCTTGTTGTTTTGCTCGGTATGTATGCATGGAACGAATGAAAGTTCTCTTTTGTTAACGATCTTTTCGATCTGTTTTGCGATGTCTGTGTTGTCTTTGACCAATGTTCGTCTGCATGAGCTATGCGATCAGGTTAATTGGGAATGCTCACTTTGGATGTCTGAATCCCAACTATCGATTATCCCCTTTTTCCTCCTTTTGCATCACATGAATGGCATGTAGTATATTTGCACTTATGATTGAATGCGACCGGCACACGACGTACTAAACAGGCATGGCTGCAAGATCTCATTGCTGGGCGTCCGACTATGAAAATCTAAGGGATCCGGAATATCATGATTATTGGGAAGGCGAACAACTCAGACGGCGGGAAAATTTAAGGAATCCGAAATTCCCTTGCCTAACAGAAAACGATCGATTATGTGCAAGGGATTTTCACTGTGCTATAACGAGCGACCCCCGGTGCCCCGACTATCCGGAAACTTATAACACGCAATATTTTATATCCCCCAGCTTCGTCGTTATTAATACCAGTTTCCCTCCCTTTCATCTTCTTCTCCCATATCACCAACTCACGGTGGTACCGTGGAATTCCATAGCTCGCTACTGGCCCAGCCCGTCGTGCGAGGGTTGTTGGTATCGCCGGGCGCGCCGAGGTTCGGGAACTACCCGTCAGGCTCGAACCGAGGCCAAGCAGCGATTGCACAGCCTCCACGCCCGACCCGTCTCGGCGGAATCCGAGGCCTGCTACGAGCGGCCCCGACAACTGGCCGAACCATGCGACCGACCCCGAAGACGGAATCAGCGGCGATGGTGACTCCTTTTTCGTTGCGGCCCTAAACGTCAAATCCGTTGGCAGGGGCAATGTTATTGGGATTTTGCTCGAGAATGCAAGAGTGTTTAAATCTACCGATACAGCGATAGCAGGAAAGCGCCCCGGATTTTTAGCTTGGGATACATTGCGCATGCCATCTGCCTTATGCTGCACGACATCAGCTATCTCCCTTCGGAGTATACCCCTTTTTTGCACCCGTATCCATGGAACTTGCCACAGGAGATCTCAGTTCCGACCTCGGATTCCACCCCCCCCACTTTCCTAAAATCCTTGGCATACCCCTTTTCGCACTTCTGGGCTGTGTAACCGTATGAACGCCATGAACGCGCGTTCACATTCAAACGCGCGCGTTCAATCACCCCAGCCCCGCGTTCAATCGCGTTCAAATGCGCCACGCGCGCGCGTGTGCAAAAAAATTGAACGCGCTCCCGCGGAGCGCGCGCGCGCGACGGGGGCTACGGGGTGGTGGTCAGAGTTCAACAGACCCCCAAAGTGCGAAAACCGCCCCCCCGGGACCTGTCTCTTATACACATCTAGATGTGTATAAGAGACAGCCTCCCAACACCCCCCCCCCCGCCCCACGGCCCCCACGGTCCCACCCACAAAACAGCCACCTGCCAAGCCCCGACTCCCCTACCCCCACCCAACGGACGGCCACCCACTCCAGCCACCTCCCCTCCGACCGTGCCTCTGCGCCACCGGGGGACGTTTGTTTTTTTTTTCCCCCCCCCATAATTACAACCCCCCAAGCCACACCACCCATTTGCACACACACACACTGACACACACACACATTCACACACGCACATGCACACACAAATTCACACCGTCGCACACACACGGGCACTTTTTTTTTTCCGCCAACACGTACAACCCCCCCAAACTGCGCCACCCATTTACACACACACATAATCACATTTTCTTTTTTTTTTTAAATAACACAAAACAAGCGGTTAGACAAATTTAAAAAAAGGGTTGCAAGCGGAAAAAAAAAAGGTGGTTTGGGGGTTCGGGGGCAGAGGTGGGGGCTAGGGTCCAAGGGGGGGGGGGCTACAGGGAGGGTTTGGGTTATGGGGGGTTCGGTGGAAGTGAGATTTCAGAGAAACCAAGGGCGGACTCAAAGCACACAAAACACTCGTCGTCTGAAAAGAGAAACATCGCAAATGACAAGATGTAATGATCTAAGCAAAACGCAAACCAATATAGCATGGATAATAGCAAAAATTTGACACATCGTGTCGAAGCCCCGCCAGTCTGTGAAAAGAAGCACCAACCCAAAAATGTCGACAAAAAGTACAGTAAAATACACTGGAAAACTACAATCTCAGAAGTAGCAAAATGCGCAGAAAAATGCCTACTGGAAAGTACAATATAATACAACATCACGAAACACCACGTCTGTCATGGATTAAAAAAAACTAAACTCGAACGAAATGGCCATGTCCTCCTACGAAAGTCGACTGGAATACAACATCACAAAAAACTACGTCTGCGCAGAAAACTACCCGCTGAAAAGTAGACTATAATACAACCTCAGCAGACACTACGTCTGTCATGGACAACAACGAACTAAAATACACTGAGAAAGTCACGAAAACGCTAGTCCACAATCCGTCAAGAATCGTCGTGCGCACGCGGAACCAGGAACTACCGATGAGAACCTCGTTCGTGGGACCAACCACTGCCATGTCCTCGATGTCTTCGACGCTGGCCGCCGCGTCTGCCAGCGGAAGGCTCGAGACCGACCGGACGCTCGTCGGGGTCGTCGTCCATAATGACTCTCCTGCCTCTCACCGTCCTGTCTACACCTGCGGCTGCTAGGTCATCACGTCGGCGTGACTCGCGTAGCATAGGTAGACCGTATGTCCCTGAAGTCTCCCCCTCCCGGCGTCGATCTAAGGGCACGTGTCTCTTGTGCCTCGGTTGTGTGACAACGCCAGGCTCCTGCAAAATAATCGACGCCTCTCTCAAACCGTATGTCAAGGGCGGATCCACTGCCCTCGCTGCGCCACCCTTTGCACCCTCACATATGTCGTCGCCCTGGCCACCGCCGCCACCGCCTCTACCACCAAACCCTGAAGCTATAACATCTCGACGTCTCACGGCCGTGGTAGCCCCTCTCAAACCTGGCTGACGACCAACGCTCGCCGTCGTCACCCGTCTCGTCTCGCTCCATGGTCGATCAGTGCGACCGAACAATATGGTGTCCAGCAACTCCCGCGCACGCTGGGCGGTGTCTCTCCGTCTACGCTTAACCGACCTCGGGGTGAGACTGCCGCCCTCCCTCGGAGCTGCGGTCATGGGTGACGAAGGGCCTGCGGCGCCTCCAGATGGCGCTACGACCGAAACTCCAGAAGGTAAGTCCCCTGCGGCCCCGCCAGATGCCGCTGCGACGGATCCTCCAGAACGTAAGCCCCCTGCAGCCTCGCCAGATGGCGCTGCGACGGAACATCCAGAAGGTAAGCTAGGGCTGGCWGGCCCCCAAGACAAGTCCTCCACGTGCGGCAGCTTCCCCTCCTCTGGGACCGTCTTGAAAATACACCGGTTGATCTCCGTCAAATCCGTCCTGCCGTGCTCCTCCAACTCCTCAGGGCTCATAAAACCAAAAGGGAGGCTGCCCCGAGGCGTCGCCACATACCTAATCTCCGGCCTCTCCCGTGACGGCACAAAAGTAGGGACCGGGGGTATGCATGCGCCCCTGCCTACACGTCACTCCTCAACCGGGCCACCGCCATGTGCACGACCCCTATTACCCTCCAAAAACGGTGCCTGATGTGGCACCACTGGCCCCACAGCAGTGCGAACCACCAAAGTCTGTGGCATGTCCTGGCCGCCCGCGTCACGCCTCTCCAACTGTGAGCAATCTCCCCCGCCAGACGTGGACATCGGATCGGCCTGAGCAGGCACCCCCACCTCGCCAACACCAACGGCCCCCGCTATAGCCCCCTCCCCCCCAGTGCTGGCTGCTATCCCCTCCGCATGTGCCGATGGGCGAATATCATCAACGCCCACTGACTGCCCCGTCTGTATGTCCTCCAGACCCGGGGACATCTGCACGGCACCCTCGACTGAACCCCTGGGCAGAGGAGTCTGAGGGACGGTCGTGACCTCGTGCAACGTCTCCTCGGGCCTCACCTGGACGGCAGGAGGCTGCACCGGCTCCGAACGTGTCTCCTCTGTCGGTGCCAATCTGCTCTCGTGCGTCCCCTGGCGAACATCTACTCCCGTGCTCAAAACCTCTGTTGAAGCCGCCTCCGACTGCGGCGTGTCGTGAACCTCTGCCGGAGGATCCGTGTGGGCAGTTGGCGCTACGTCAACGGACGCTGGCATAAATATCCCCAATTACCTATGTCGCTCCTCGGTCGCACGACGGGCGAGCTCCTGCGTCCTGGGGTCCCTCTGCGCCATGAGGTCAACTCGAGCCTATTTAGCCTCTCTGCAGATGTCTCTCCAGGGGGTGTCCGGTCCTCATCCCCATCTGCCCCCGACATCACCTCTGCTCGCATGGCAGGGGAGAAACTACTCGGGTCCGCTAAGCTGATTTGTCCCAACAACTCCTGCATACCCACACTGATGTCCCCACGGGACTCGCTCTCTCCTCGGGCCAGACCCACGCTCTCTCCTGGGGGCATACCCAAGTCACCAAACTCACTAAAACCGGCTCCGCCCCCCATCATCGGTATCCGCTCATCCTCGGCACTCCGAATCTCGTGCGCCTCAACCGCCGCAGCAACCTCTGCACCACCTCCACCTCCGGCCAACGCACCACCATCTCTACGAGCCAACCCCTGTCTATCTCCGTCGTCCCCCTGCACCGGTGAAGAACCGACCTCTAATCTGTCTTGCAATCGCTGTCTAGGGCCCCTCACCAATCTGTGCAATCGATCATCCCCGGCTGGCTGTCGACGAAGCTGCTCCGTCGAAGTGGGAAGAGCGGTGGATGACGCCGTACCAGTACGAACACGCCCAGGACGATGGTCATTCCCCGACTCTGCCCCCCTCGAAGGTGCAGACCCAGGATCTCTCTCCCGCTCCAAGGACCGCGGGTCAGCGGACGTAGTCCTCTGACGCTGTGGAGGGCTCTCGTGACGACCCCCGGACTCCTCCTCCAAGTCAACTCCAACGAAAAGGTCATCTTCGCCACTCCGTCTCCGGACGTCCTCTGGGTCGCTCCACACATCACGCTCATCCGCCGCAGGACCGGCGGTATCGGGGCCCGCCGGCTCGTCCTCGTCGTCCTCGGAATCACTGTCGTTTCGAGGGTACGGGTGCAATGTGGCGGCTCGAGTACCAAAAACATCGCCCACATCACCCGGAGGAGCTCTCGACCCACATGGGTCTCGCTGCCAAGAACGTCTCATCTCCTCGAGCTCCTCCCGCGTCCTGCTCTCGTTCGTCCCCTTCCACGAGCGGCGAATCCCGATACCTCCCTCCACGTCCAACAATGACTCATCCAAAGTCCACGGCAGTGCGAACCCGTGGCCTGCCCGCTGATGAGAGAGAAGGCGGACATTGGCTGAGATCTCAACCAACTTCGCGACCTTCTCGAACTCAAGCCGGTTACGCTTCTTCGTCTGTACACCCTCGTGGACGGCCCAATTCCTCTCCGCAGGAGAGGAGCACGTCCACATGTACATCACACGAAGAGCGATAACCTGCAACTGGGGGGCGCACTGCCCGTACCTCGACCACCAACACCCGGACTCGTACGTCTCCGCAATGCCCGTGCACCTCTATGCATCTCTGTCTCCGTCCCTCCCCCCCCAAGCAATCGTCCCCCTCCGTGTGTGGAAGTCGCGCAACTGCGCACATGCGGTCTTGTAGTTGGGGCTCGACACACTGAACTCTGTCTGCGACAAGATGTAAGTCTCCGCCTCCCTCACCAAACTGGCGTCGCCCTCGAGGTACCGCAAGTCCCAGCGGCTGGGACAGAAAAGGTGAGCAGCGGCGTGCGCCGGCTCCAACATGTGGGCGCATCGGGCCTGCACCCTCTGCACAATGTGGTCTGCAAGATCGGTCGGAAGTGCACAAACCTCCTCTGCTACCTGGCGGGCCAGATCCTATGTCCACTCAACAACCCGCCACATGTGCAGCCCTCCACGGTCCAACCTGCGCAGCAGGTCGTACACGGGCTCCATGACACGGAACAAGATGGCCATGGAATCCCACCAGCTGCCATGCCGCACCTGCCACCTCACCCACCTAGCCAAGTGACGAACGGAATGGTCCCAAGGGACCATACCCCAATTGTCGCCATCCACCGTCCTCTCCAATGCTGACCTCACTGCCATCAAACGCTCCACCATCGCGAACACGGATGCGAAACATGTCTCGCAAGGATAAATGAGGCCCATCTGCCTGCTCTCCCCCCGGAAAATATGGAGAGCGACGTCGTGCTCCTTAATGAAGCGCACCACCGCTCTCCCCCTCACGACGATGTCCTTGGACCACGTGCCCGAACAGCCAATGTCTGACAACATCTTGTTGCAGACATGCACTGCGCATGGGAGCCACGTGATCCGTCGATGCTCTGGCCTCTGCTCGGGCCCCTGGAGCATGTTCGCCGCGACGACGTACACCGAGGCGGAGTCGGTGCAGATGGTGTTCACCCACTTTGGGGGAAAGTCATCGAACACCTTGATCCAGCGCGCCAACACATCAGGCGCGCGATCCCGCTCACCCTCCCTGTTCATCGTCCGGACGAGCATCACCCCACGCGACCCGCCGGCAAGGAAGTTAACGATGGGTCTAGCATCGCGTGACTTCCTTCCGTCCGACATAATGGTGGCCCCCGTGACATAGAAAGGAGCCCTGACCTCTGCGAGATCAGCTCCCACATCGTCCGCCGTATGGACAATGGTCTCTATGTCCGCAATCTCATTCTCTGAAGGCCATAACACCTTCACTGGCCCCAGCAATTCCCTGAAGTGTCGGACTATGTCCAACCACGGCTCGCTCCGGAAGACGTTGAACGCCAGGCGCTGACTGTACACAAACCGCAGCCACTTCTTTCTGAACTCCATCTGCCACTTTGAAGAGAATGACTCCGGGATAGTGTTTTGCCTCAGCCTCTTCTGTGCTGCCGTCGGTCGCGCCCCCTCCTCTCTCTCCTTCCTCTTCCCCGCAGATGGACCCGGCTCAGCGGTATCCGCACCTGCCCGTGCACGAGCCGACACGTGCGCCGACGCAAAGTACTGGCCCTGCTGCCCCCCCGGCTCGCTGACAACGCCCTTCCCTCGCTCCCTCCCTGACGGCCCCGCCCGCGCAACCTCCTCGACGTCGTCGTGCACGTCGATCTGCTCCTCCGTGTCCCTCGTCTCTCCCTCCCCCCCCTCGTCCCGTCACGGATCTATCGCAGGCGTCGGACCGTGGAGCTCCTCAAACTGCTGGATCCGCTGTAGGAACTTGTCGGACATCTTGTACTCACTGTTGTAGTGGATGTCGACAAGTGCCTCGTCGGTCACTTCATGACATCCCTTGCCTTGGCGGAAATGGCGCGCCGCCACAAACTGGTTGCCTTGGAACTCGTGGCCACAGAAAACGCACTTCAGCATTCGATTGCCGCGGAATCTCTCGCCGAGACTTTGACCGATGCGGATGTACTTGTACACGCAGCATTTCTTTTGTGCCTTCAAATTCTCATCCTCCCCCCCATGCTCAAACACCCTGGACTGACTTCGCGGCATCGTGCCCGCTCGCCGATGGCTGTACGAACTCCCGCCGACCTCCCTCCCTCCCCGCACAAGGACTCGTCGGCCCAGTGCCCACCACCCAGTGGGCCCTATCGCGTCGCCCACGCACCCCGCACGTCCTCGAAACCCCCCACCCCACCAGTGACAGGGCGCAGCCCGCCGAAACGAACGCCCAGAACGCGCATTCAAAACGACTGAACGTGCGTTCTTTAAACGCGAACGCGCGTTCAAAAAGAATGGACGCGCGTTCAAATTTTAGTTCCGCAGCGCGCCATGATCATCTCCGTCGCCGCTCCGCGTCGTCGTCGTCGCTGTCCGCTGCCGCTCCACCCCTTCGCCTTCCGCGCGCGCCTCCGCCACTCTCTCTCTCTCTCTCTCTCTCTCTCTCTCTCTCTCTCTCTCTCTCTCTCTCTCTCTCTCTCTCTC